TCATTTTTTAAAATCAGTTCTTGATGCACAGGAGAACATGTCTAAGAGGAGTAGCAAAACTTCTGTTCTTTCATTTTTGTTTTAAATAAACTGGTCGGTATCCTCATAACAATTCTCTGCTTTCAACAATACATTACTTATAATTCCTTCTAAAGCAGAAATAGCAAGTTCAGCCACAAGCTAATAATATGTAATTTACTATTGTAAACAATTTTAAATTAAAGAAGGCAATTTAATACCAAAGCCTTATCTCTCAATAGTTACTAAGCATCTCTTACCTTTGTGGCATGGCATAGATACTTGTACACTGACTGATTTAAAATCCCATTTCGCTTGCTATATGCTGTATACTATCTACTTTTGAAAAATACCAGTGTTGCTGATTGATTTAGTCTAAAATGACTCAGAATGTTGTAGAGCCCTATTGTTAATTCCATATCCATAGTTGATATTCAAAAGTCTTACAGATGAATTAAGAACATGAGAGTAATTTTTATCAATCAATTACTAAATTCCAAAATCATTCTTCTGGTTCTAGTGAAAAGAAAGGTGGATTGGGGGTGGAGATATGGTGGGGAGTCGATGGATAAAGAAGGACTAATTGAGATTGGGGACTCTCTGCTGAAAGAAAGAATGTCTGTTAACTTTCTACAAGTAAATTCACCAAGAGCTAAGAATGTACTGCTGGTGGTAATAGGCAGGACTCTAGAACTATTCTGCAGAGAATTTTAATACTATTTATAACCAAACTATGACTAAAAGAGAAAATTTGAAAACAGACTTCCTGAACTTCCAGTGTATTCTCTAACAGTTCCCTGGACACATACGTTGTTAGTTGTCCATCCTATTAGTAACAGCACTTCCTTCCTGCAGATTCATTAACACTGAAACAATACACCATTAAAAATAAATAACAACAAAAAAAGGATTTACATGAAAGACAGCTGGAGCTGGTTGCCAGGGGAACTGACTATGTTCCAGATACATTCCACATTAGAAGGATAAACTTCTGGGTAGCCAGGGCTGTTGAATGTGCCTTCGGCCATGTGGAAGTTTCCACCACAAGCTAGAAGAAAAGGAAAATGAAGTGAGTGCCAGAGCAAAGATTGAATATAAAATATCAAAAGACAATGGAGAAAGATTGCTAGAAGAACTACTATCAGCATCAAAGAATATCTTATTTCCATGTTTCACCAGAAAAATTACTAATCCATGCCATGTATGATAAGCAGCAATTATCAGTGGTGAATCAGAGGAATCTCTGCAGTGTCTTTCAAAAAGCCCTTTCTGCCTGTGAACTGTAATTTTCAGTAATAAAAGACTTCGGATCAGGATTATCTTCAACACTGGCCTAGAACAGAAAGCAATATTCCAGCTTTTCCTCGTGAAGAGACCAGTGAAAGACACATACATAAATATTGTAGGTGTTCTATGGCATTTAACTCCTAACAAGGAAGCCAAGAGCTGGCAACCAGGCACTCTCTTGGTTAATCAACTGAGTGCTAGGTGGACCTCCCTTCCCCTCCTCCCTATGTGCCACAGTGGTGCCATCAGTAACAATAGGCCCAACCTGGTCCTAGGAAGGAGGCCAGGGACACTGGAGAAGAGCTACATTGTTGTTCATCCATAAGACATATCTTTGACATTGTTAGTCAGGGGTTTCCTTAACAATCATTACGTAAAGGAGAGTGGTAAGACATAGATAAGCAGGCTGTCCAAGATAATACCATCGTGCGGCGTAGAGGAAAAGGAGGGCAGATAATTCCAGCCAATTCTCTGTATTGTTCACACTGTTAGAAGTTACAAGTATATTAATCCTAATTTGGAAGATCACAGAAATCATCTCAGGAAATGGACCCTCAACTCTGAAGAGTCCCAAATGATAAACCAAGGATTTCTGCCACATTTCTTTCTGTTATCTAATAGAGACATTTGCTAATTTCTCTTACCTGATGATGATGCAGTATATAAAGCATGGAAACCATCAGAATTTCTTCTAGAATCAGAGACAAACCTCAGCGTCAGGGCATTGCTGAAAGAAGTGATGGGATGAGGCATGGATATGCCACAATAACGGCCTGCATGTAAAGATAACAACAAGAAAACAAATGATGACATGGCAGAGGACATTATTTCTCAAAAGCAAGTCGCTCCTCTAATTCCTAGAGACCAAAGCAAAAGGAATAAATCATTATTAAGAGAACCATTTAAATCAGGGTCAGTGTTTAACAGAATACCTGAAAATTAAGATAAACTACAAGCGTATGATGAACAACATTATTACACCATAGGGAAAACTTAGATGATCTGGCTCCAAATCTAACTCAAGTTAAAATCTCCAGCACAGTGGGGATCTGCATAAACAAATGGGCTAAAACTTATAGGCAGTCTATCATAGCAGAGAAAAACGTATGGATGCTGGGGACTGGCTCCCAGATTCAACTCCTCGCTCTGCCATTTACTAGTTATGAGACCTATCAAAAGTCACTTAAGAGCTCTGTGCCTCAGTTTCCCCATTTGTAAAAGGGATAGGTAGATAATAATAATAATACCTATATCCTAAAAGTCTTGGAATTGACTGAGTTACTATTTATAAAATGCTTAGAATAGTACTTAGCACAAGATACCCACCCATCCCACTCATAGTGACTCTATAGGACAGAATAGAACTTTCCCATAGGATTTCCAAGGCTATAAATCTTTATTGAAGACTGCCTCATCTTTCTCCCATGGAGCAGCTCATAAATTCAACTAGCCAACTTTGGGTTAGCAGTTGAATGCCTTAACCACTGCACCACTAGAGCTCCTTGGGACAAGGTAAGTGCTATATACCAAAAACCAAAACATGGCACATTCAACAGCCCTGGATACCCAGAAGTTTATCCTTCTCGTGTGGAATTGCCATCAAGTCAACTGACTCATAGCAACGCTATAGGGCAGAGTTGACCTTCCCCCTAGGTTTTCCAAGGCTGTAAATCCTGATAGAAGCACACTGCCTCATCTTTCTTCCACAGAGTGTTGGTGGGTTCAAACTCTCAAACTGCTAACCTTTTGGTTAGCAGCCCAGTGTTTTGACCACAGCACCATCAGAGCTCCTTAAGTGCTAAGTAAATGTTTGTTAAACGATATACCCTCATCTTGGTCAAATGCTTACTGACAAAGATCTCAGTCAGTATAATCAGAGATGAACACAGAGCGTAAAACATTCACTTAGTGCACACTATGGCCTGGCCACTGGGAATGAAGCAATAAGCAAAACATCCCTTCTCTGATGGTATTGGTATTCTAGTGGGGCAAGAGAAACCTGTATGGTGAAACTCAAAAATTCTTAAAGGTATAGAGAAAATACCTCTTTGAGTTAAATAAACTGAGATTATATTCCTTGCAGACATTTCAGAAATAAGCTTCCTGTTAGTTACCATCGAGTCAGTCTCTCACTCATCATGACTCCATGCACAACAGAACCAAATGCTGCACGGTCAGGATGTAGATCAGACAAGTGGGATCCACAGGGTTCTCACTGCCTGATTTTCAGAAGCAGATCTCCAAGCCCTTCTTTACCTCATCCATATTAATCTGGAAGCTCCACTGAAACATGTTCAGCATCACAGCAACAGGCAAGCTTCCACTGACAGGTGGTGTCTGTATATGAGGCCACTTCAGAAACTAAATAGTAGCAATATTTAAGGGCAACAGTATGTCTTACACATAGAATGACATACTCTTTTTTTCCCCCCACCGATGACAAAGCCAGAAGAAAACATACTAAATTTGAATAAGAACTTTTGTCAAAACTTAACACAAAATTTCTGACAGAATGCTATTTAACTTGGAAGGGGCTACATTTCACTACTATCTCAAGAAGTTGTAACTTTTAATTTTTTAAAAAATACGCATAAACTATTCATTTCCTTTGAATACAAATAAGCTCAGTTTCTTGAATCCCACGTTAAGCCCTGCTTTCTTACCCTCTGATTATCTTTACTTGGTTTGTGCTGCTCTTTGTATTTATTGGAAGCATGCTAACATTTAATGGCAGACTATAAAGATGTATTTATATAAATAAAACACATCCATGGCTACAGATATAAATAAGTGAAAACCACAGTACCTCGGAGGGGAGCATCATAGTAGCTGCCGTCCAAAATTTCTAAAAAGTCATGTGAACACTCTGTGCTGCTTTCAAGCCCAAAGTGGCTAAAGGAGAGAGTTATATGATTAACTGTAAGAAAAAAAAAAAAAAAGAGAGAGAGAGAGAGATTATTTAATAAAGTACGGGCAAACAAAACATAGAAGGGAGTGAAATTTTACCTCAGATAAATGCGTATGAGGATTCTCCAGCAGGGAAACAAGAATCTGGCAGATTTGCACAGGTGGTTAGTGGGTAAGAGAAAAAGGAGCAACTGCTATGCTAGAAGGTTTCCCTTTGAAGTGTAACAGGATCAATATTTTCTAAAATGTCTGCAGAATCTGAAATATGGGTAGTGGTAAATAAGAGAATGCTCTTGGGTACGTTCATTCCAGAAGGCATGGGGGGATATCTGGTTGAAAGATGATAGGAAAGAATCCTTTTTTATATAGGCTATTGTGGTATTCCCCCTGTAAGCATTTTTATCTGAAAGAATAATTTCTGTAAATTCCAAATCTTTTCATGTGCATGTAAGTAAGACACTCTTCTTGCTGGCTCACACATCCTAGCACACAAGCTTTATTTTAAGGCCAGAGCCCTAGAGATTCAGAGACATTTATAAAGAAAGCTTTGAATTACTCGCACAACAGCAAGTGCCTGGGTACATTTTCCTTTTGTTGTTCTTCCAGGATCCCTAATCTTCAGAATATGATCTTTTCCTGTTGCTGCAGCTTGAACTGGGGAGATCTTTCATCTAAGTGCTTTACAACTCATTAGAAAATAACCCTCAGGCACAAAACTGCTTTGCTCAAGGCAGGGGGCTGCTTTATCTATGGCTCAATTTCTGGCTGGCAATTTTCTTTGGGCCTTCACTCTCCTGGTCTGCAATTGGCTAAGGATTACATCACCAGCCTCCAACCACATGCATGTCAATAAAGATACTATCGGCTTATTAACTCTTAACATCACTAGGAAAATTGTTAAGAGAATATGTAAGCTGAACCCTTCATTTTGTAGATTAGAAAATGAGGTCCAAATAGCTTAAGGGTTTTGCCTGTTATCACACAGGTCATTAGTTATGAAGCTGAGTCAAGAACCTAATGCATTTCCATACTATGTCTAAAAATCATAAACTTTTCCTGATAACTTCAAAGGAGGATAGGGCTCATCTGAAACAAGATCACACCCTTTGCAACCATTTTGCTGTGTCCTTAGGGGTCTCCTCATATTCACTATCTTTAAAATGTAGAAAGTAAAACTTTTTACCAGAGGATTATCTGCTCAGAAATTAATACACTACAATTTAAAAAAGAAAATAAGTGAGCACTTATTAAGTGCTTCTTCTAGGTCTGTGCTGGGATATTTCCAATGCATGCATTGCAGGAGAGATCAAGTTTTATAATTAATTTCTATCTTTATTGAAGATCAATAGTTTCATGGCACTGCATTCTTGATCTGTGAGTTACCAGTGTATAGTTCTTATGAGTCGGGGCCGACTCGACGGCACATAACAACAACAACAACAACATTCATTTAGTAACTATCTACTACACTCAAGAAACATATGTCAAAAATCATTGATCAATTTTTGCTTACATCCAATCTCACATGCCTGACACTGTGGCAAAGTTATAGGTGTTTTTTGTTTTTCTTTTCCTTAGCTAGATCTTGAAACTTTAAAAAAAAAAAAATGCTGTTGTGCACATCAGGATTTGGGACTTTCAGAAGAGGAGGGTCATCAACTTTTACTACCAATGAGATAAGAATAATACTCATACACCGTCTTCTCCACAGACATGATCGGTCTAGAAATACTATTTTTCCTTTTTCATTTTCATTACTTACATGGAGGTTGAGCTTGAATTATCCAGCTACAGTTCTGATTGTTTGGATACTTGTTAGGGAACAATGGAGAGGAAATAGTATCAAAAGAATTGGTGAGCAGGAAGCCTCCACAGGCTGGAGAACACAAAAATACATATATGTTATTTACTTTTGATTTCTACTGACTGTACAAAACAATTAGGAGGCAAATAATTTGATGCATGAAAAATATATTATTTTCCTTGTTTCAGAAATGAATGCCAAGGAAGTCATATACAAACAATGAGAAATGGGAAAATACTTTACATTTAGAATAATATTTTTAAATGACAGGAAATGGGGACATGCCATTAAAGCAACAGATTAAGTGGCTATGAATTGCCTGAAATTGAAATAAAACTCTGGCATTGATTCACTTACTCTATCCACTCATAAATTTTAGCTACACAGATAATCTCTTGATGAATGGCCTATTGTTTTAAGAAAATAAATACTCAATTGAACAAGCCTTCATAAGGATGACTGCCTTTTACAGAACTGCAAAGCTCAACGAGAGTCCAGAAGAGGGAGAGCTTGTAGCCAAGTTGAAAGCATAAGAGGAAATCTCCGGGAGAAGGCAGAGGCCAAATGAGGAATTGGAGGGGGAGGAAGAATAGTCCAGGAAAAGCCAACCTGAGCAACAACACAGAGTAGGGTAAGAGGTGCATCTATGCAGACCTGGCCAAAGCATGGGTGTTGGAGGTAAAGCTGGAAAGATAGGTTGGAGGCAGGTTCCAAGGCCCTTGGATAACATGTGGAGGATTTGGGGCTTCATTTTCTTGGCAGAGTTGAGCCAGAGAGACCTTGGAACTCTAAATGACATAATCAGAGCAAGACTTTTACAAATGGATTCTGGAGGCAAATGGAGTGAGGTTGGATGAGATTGAGGTGGCTGTTAAAATAGTCCAGATAAGAGGTAAGAAGGGACTTTTTGCTCTGCAGCAACACATAAGAGAATCATTAAATGAAACAAAAAGCATTTGAAACCTCTCTTTGAAAGCACTACAAGTGATTGATTTATGCAGTCTGCCTTACCATAAAGTCTACGCTGATCCAGAGACTACCCTCAACTAGAAGTCTTCCTCTACAATACAAGTAAGTCCACTGAAGCAAACTAAATGACTATGACACAGATCCACGATATAAAAATTCAGAGCTGTATTGAAGCAGAGCAACTACCGCTCCGGCAATATGGTTGCTTCCCTCACTGACAGTGGAGAAAGGAAGTCATCTCTAAGATGGACCAGATGGAGGGCAATGGCTGAAAAGTTCTTGAAGGAAAAACTGAGAAGTGGTAATCTAAGAAGAAAAATAATGGAAAGCAACTTTAATTCTTCGAGTTGAGCCAAGGAAATTATTTACTACGTCAACGGTTAAAATCTGACTACATCAACAGCAAGCCTTGTCATTTACATTGGTATATCTCCTTCCAGAACAAAACCTTGGAGAAAGACTAGATAAATGAATTTAGGAAAAAATTTTGTACTGCCTCTAGTATTACAGGTAATTTCAGTATTCTGAAAACTTGTTTGTGATATACCCCTATCCAAAAGAAGTTAGCATCATCTAAATTAGATGAGGCCAAAGCTGAAAGTATAAACAGTTAATATAATTGCAAGTCATATTTCCTTGTTCTATTTAAATTTTCACATGTTAAATAGAAAGCAGTTGCCAATCTCTGAAGGTCAGTGTCATTTCATTGGAGCACCAAGAGAGGCACTAAGAACAGTTTGCCTGTGCCTCCAGGAGACCCACATGGCACTTGCCTTGCCTAAAGTGAGCTCGGAAGCCCCTGCTCTGTCTGGAAGCTCCAGATTGAAATCGCACAGAAAGCGTATTTCCTGAAGAGGTGATGGGGTTAGTCAGCTGCTGTCTTCCACACATACTGGTGAGGCGGGTGGTTGCCAAGTTTAACCCATCATATGCCTACAAAGAAAGACCACAGGTAAAATAGTAGCTTAGAATGTCCAATCTACATCTATAAGACGCCTTTCCATAGACTATCTGCCATAGTAAGTAGTGAGTGAGTGCAAAACGTATTTGCTGGATCTAGTAAAACTGGGAGCTGTGGTAGCATAGTGGCTAAAGCACTTGACTGCTAACCAGAAGGCTGGCAGTTCAAACCCACCAGCCACTCCTCGGAAGGAAGGTTGGGCAATCCTACTTCCGTAGTGATACTGCCTCGGAAACCCAAGAAGGGGTCGCTATGAGTCGGGGCCAACTCGACGGCAAATAACAACAACAACAACAACAGTAAAACTGGCTTTATTTATTGTCTTGCCACAAAGTTCCATGGGAGCCACTAACTCTTGGGTCATTTCTAAGGACCCTAATACGGTTTTAGTGGGACTTTCTCTGTGAGAGCCACTATTTGAATGCTGTCAGTTTCAAAGCCCCCGCTCCTCTCCTGACTCAGTCCAGTCATATCATAGGCCATACCTCTAGCATATACTGAAAATATATAATGCAAAATAAATATATGCGTAAACAGAGGAGACATAATGATGTGAAAACACTCATTTTCAGAAACCCACCATTTGCTGGGAACTTTTTCCTTTTCATGGGGTCATCCCCCATACCAAACCAAACTCACTGCCATCAAGTCGATTCCTACTCATAGTGACCCCCATTCAGTTTCCTAGGTAGTAAGTCTTTATGGAAGTAGATTGCCCCACCTTCCTTCAGTGGAGTGGCTGGTGGGTTTGAAATGCCAACCTTCTGGTTAGCAGTCAAATTCCTTAGGCACTGTGCCACGAGAACTCCTTCATGAGGTTATGGTCAAGAAAAAAGTGAAATGGCAGAATTCTTTTAAATGATATGAATAATATAAGCCCAATTTTTAAATGATCATTTTAAAACATGCATTGGGCTGTGTTGCGTGTCTGTGCAATGCTGTGCTTAGACTTAGCTGGCACTCCATATGTGTGAATAGAATAGAGTTCACATCACATTTGCCATAAATCACTGTACTGGTTTGTGAAATTGAAGTTTGTTCATTTCATTAGAAGTGTGTGAGTCTGCTGTGAATTTCTTAAGACTTCCTGGGTAAACCAGAGGAAAATTATTTTTGGATGAAAATAATACTAATAGCTACCATCCATTAAGTGGTTCCTATGTGCCAGGACCTAGGTTCCAGTCCTTCAGATATAATCATCACATTTTATTTCTACAACTTTCTATTTTCAAAAGGAAGACAACTGATGCACAGGGAGCCTAAGTAATGTGCCAAATGACACAATTTCTAAAAGGAAGCATGTCATGTTGAATGAGAGGGCTGAGTTTTAAACTCTTTCATTTTGCTTAATGCAAGATATTAATGAACCAGGCTGGATATATCAACCTGACAACCACCAGAGTGGGATGGTAAGTATTAAGTTAAGTTATGGCTGTCTTGTTCAAAAGAAATTTCCATTCGTGTTTCATAAGAAAGTCTTGGGTAAAAAAAAATAATAATAATAACAAGTTTAGGGATTTAGTGAAAGGATGTTACTGATAGATGACTTTAAATATTTAGTCATGACTATTGTGTTTTATTTTGCATATAAGTATGATTTTGAAGCCATTCTCAGTTTGATTATACAAGCAAGTAAATCAAACATTGATAGGATTTAAAACTAATTAATGAGGGGGACAAAACTTTTATAATAATTAATTTAAAATAAATTGTTATGAAACAGGATTTCTTTCTTCTCCTCTTCTTCCATTTTTTAACTTAATGCTCAATTTTTAAAGCTGTGTATTTAATAAATGAAATTTTAAACAGATTTTTATTTAATATTTAAACATTGATTAAAAATGAAATTACATTTATTTCACAGATTCAAAATAGTTTCCAATCGAGTATGATTGCTTCCTTTAAATACTCTGAAAACCTAAAATAGGGGTCAAAACAACACAAAAAACCTCATTACAAAATGTCTGACTAAATTTATACTGCAACCTACTCTGAAATATTCCAGTTTTCATTTTCTTTTTTTAAATAACCTTTTATTATGATTTGGCTAAGAGTTTACAGAATAATTGGTTTTCCATTCAACAATTGATACACATTTTGTTTTATGACATTATGATCTCCACAGTGTAATAGCACTCTTCTCACCTCCTCCCTGTGTTTATCATTTCTTTTGCCATTCTTTTCTATTTCTTCCCATCTCCTGAGTTTTGTCCCTGGGCAAATGTTGCCCTTTTGATCTTGTATGGTTGATTGTTCTAAGGTGTGCATACTTCCTGGTATTATTGTTCATCTTATAGTCCTATTTATTGTTTGGCTGAAAGTTGAGCCAAAGGGGTGAATTCATTTCCAGGCTTGAAGTTTATCTAGGGGCCATAGCCTCAGGGGTTCCACTAATCTCTATCCAACCAGTAAGCCTTGTCTTTTTTATGAGTTTGAATTTTGTTCCAGTTTTTCTTCCACTTTGTTCCACACCTTCTATAGTGATCCCTTTCAGAGATGTCAGCTGTGGTAGCCAAGCACTATCTAGTTCTTCTGGTCTCATGGTCAGGGAGGCAGGGGTTCACATGATCCAATGTTGTTGTTGTTGTGTGCCGTCAAGTCAGCCCCGACTCATAGTGACCCCTCCTTGGGTTTCTGAGGCGGTATCACTGCAGAAGTAGATAGCCCAACCTCCAGTAGTCCTTTGGATTATCATCCTTGATCTTCTTCATTCTTCTTTGCTCCAGACAAGGAGAGACCAATAGTTGCATCATAGATGGTCACTAATTAGCTTTTAAGAGCCCAGCTGCTACTCACCAAAGTAGATGTAGAACACTGTTTTTGTGGACTATGTCATGCAACATGACCTTGATGTCCCTCCTAAGATTATAGCTAACCTAGGATTTCAGTAATGTTATACTAGTACTATTGTGACTTTAATATCAAAAGATACAGAATATCTTCTTAGAACATCTGGGACTATAGGGTCTAGAGTGTATATTAATTTTTGGTCAAAATACAAGCCTACTTGCTTGTCTCAAGCTGATTAATTCATTTGTCTGTTTATTTATTTAAAATAGCATTTCTGAAAATCTAACGAAACATGGGTTCAATGCATAGTTTATACACTTTTCTCAAAAAATAAAAACACATTTAGAAGATTTTTGACCCTGTACTCACAAAGGCAAGAATGTTCTAGTCCTGCTTATTCCCCTGCTCCCCCACCCCCAAATTCAGAGGGCCAGTGACTAAGTAGATATTGGATTTTCACTTTCTAAGTCATCTTTTTCTCTCTGAGGTGTTGAAATCCTCTTAAGGAAGATGGGAAAAATAAGGTAAAAAATGTAAGCCAGAAAGCTAACTTTCGATACTTCAGAAAGTCACCTGACTGAGCCATTTCCCTAGGGATCCTTTGAAAGTGGCAAATCTTTGAGGTGGGGGAGGGGTGTCTACAGGCTTCTTAGGCCCTCCCTGTGATCCTAGAATTTCAGGAGCTCTACTGAACTGCATGCATCTGACTGGGGCATTGCTTTACAATGTATGGTCCCAAAGTGTAAGGCTTCCAAGAATCACTAAGTCAAAATTATATACCAATGATACTACAAATTTGATTTGCATGCTGTAATTTTACAGTAACCATCAAAACCATCCTAACCTAGTCTTCAAGAACTAAAACCAAAAAACCAAACTCATTGCCATCCAGTCAATTCTGACTCATGGTGACCCCCATTGGGTTTCCCAGGCAATAAATCTTTGTGGAAGTAGTTTGCCCAGTCTTCCTTCCACAGAGTGGTTGGTGGCATAGTGCCTAAGGCATTTGACTGCTAACCAGAAGGTTGGCGGATCAAACCCAGTAGTCAACGCCGTGGAAGGAAGACAAGGCAATTGACTTCTGTAAAGATTTACTGCCTCTGAAACCCAATGGGGGTCGCTATAAGTCAGAACCAACTGGATGGCAGTGAATTTTGTCTTTAAGAACTAGTCTTCAATAATTAAAAAAAAAAAAAAAAAGTCTTTTTTTTTAAATAAAGAAAGTGACACTAAGCAAGTGTGCTGACTGTTACCCTATTGTCTCACATGCTGTAAGCTAGTGACTCATCCAAAATCACATAGCTAGTGTGGAACTTAATTCTTCTTTCTTCAATTCTACATGATTG